ACCAGTTGTGGCACAATAGTGATGTGACTATAACGGGGCTCAGCATCCATGCTGTGGGAGTGGGTGCAGAAAGGGATGACGTGGCAGATAATGAGATTAGTGGGGTGCAATCACATGGGAGTAGACGGAAGCAGAGGGGACGACAGGGAAGGATGGGTGGGGAGTGTGATGCGGTGAAGAGGAGTGAGTCTGTGTGGACAGCGGTGCTGGCTCCAACTCGTCTCAGTGTGCTTGCCTCCTTGTACCGATGCCAGACCACCACTTTACTCACATCGGATACAATCACATCAGTGGCTGCTGTGATCCGCGTCCCTGTGTTGGCAGCTACTGTTCCTGCAACTGTCATCCACGCACTCCCCAAGGTAAGACTTTTGAGTAATCACATCAGGTACAGTCACGTCGGATACAATCACATCAGTGGCTGCTGTGATCCGCGTCCCTGTGTTGGCAGCTACTGTTCCTGCCACTGCCATCCACGCCCTCCCCAAGGTAAGTCTCTAGTTTCGAAGGTGCGTGAGACCACCACGTTACTCACATCGGATACAATCACATCTGCAGCTGCTCTGATCCGCGTCCCTGATTTTGCAGCTACCGTGCCTGCCACTGTCATCCACGCCCTCCCCAAGGTAAGTCTCTGCCTATGAAGGTGCGTTAGACGACCATCCATACACATGCTCTTTATTAGGAGCTTCCATGCCTTCCACTGTCATCCACGCCCTCCCCAAGGTAAGTCTCTGCCTATGAAGGTGCGTTAGACGACCATCCATACACATGCTCTTTATTAGGAGCTTCCATGCCTGCCACTGTCATCCACGCCCTCCCCAAGGTAAGTTTCTGACTGTGAAGGTGCGTTAGACGACCTTCCATACACATGCACTTTATTAGGAGCTCCTCTGCCTGTTGAGTCGACTCAAAAGTCACCTCATCCACGCCCTCCCCAAGGTAATTTTCTGACCTTGAAGGTGCGTTAATGACCATCCATACACATGCACTTTAATAGGAGCTCCGCTGCCTGCCACTGTCTCATCATGCAGTGATGCGTCACCACTCAGTTCCCAAGGTGAGGCCCTAATCATAAAGGTGCCTCGAAGTCGTGTTTTGAGGCGCCTCAAAACACCACTTCCCAAGGTGAGGCCTTAATCATAAAGGTGCCTCGAAACATCTCATGGCAGCATCGCCATCAGCATGAGCATGAGCATGAGCATGAGCATGAGCATGAGCATGAGCATGAGCATGAGCATGAGCACGAGCACGAGCACGAGCATGAGCATGAGCATGAGCATGAGCATGAGCATGAGCATGAGCATGAGCATGAGCATGAGGATCAGCATCAGCATCAGCATCAGCATCAGCATCAGCATCAGCATCAGCATCAGCACAGCATCAGCATCAGCATCAGCATCAGCATCAGCATCAGCATCCCATCACCATCAGCATCAGCATCAGCATCAGCATCAGCATCAGCATCCGCATCGGCATCGGCATCGGCATCGGCATCAGCATCAGCATCAGCATCAGCATCGCATCAGCATCAGCATCAGCATCAGCATCAGCATCAGCATCAGCGCATCAGCATCAGCGCATCAGCATCAGCATCAGCGCATCAGCATCAGCGCATCAGCATCAGCGCATCAGCATCAGCATCAGCGCATCAGCATCAGCGCATCAGCATCAGCGCATCAGCATCAGCATCAGCGCATCAGCATCAGCATCAGCATCAGCGCATCAGCATCAGCGCATCAGCATCAGCGCATCAGCATCAGCGCATCAGCATCAGCGCATCAGCATCAGTGCATCAGCATCAGCGCATCAGCATCAGCGCATCAGCATCAGCGCATCAGCATCAGCGCATCAGCATCAGCGCATCAGCATCAGCGCATCAGCATCAGCGCATCAGCATCAGCGCATCAGCATCAGCGCATCAGCATCAGCGCATCAGCATCAGCGCATCAGCATCAGCATCAGCGCAGCATCAGCGCATCAGCATCAGCGCATCAGCATCAGCGCATCAGCGCATCAGCATCAGCGCATCAGCATCAGCGCATCAGCATCAGCATCAGCGCAGCATCAGCGCATCAGCATCAGCGCATCAGCATCAGCGCATCAGCGCATCAGCATCAGCATCAGCATCAGCATCAGCATTCGCATCAGCATCAGCATCAGCATCAGCATCAGCATCAGCATCAGCATCAGCGCAGCATCAGCGCATCAGCATCAGCGCATCAGCATCAGCGCATCAGCATCAGCATCAGCATCAGCATCAGCATTCGCATCAGCATCAGCATCAGCATCAGCATCAGCATGAGCATGAGCATCAGCATCAGCATCAGCATGAGCATCAGCATGAGCATCAGCATGAGCATCAGCATGAGCATCAGCATCAGCATCAGCATCAGCATCAGCATCAGCATTCGCATCAGCATCAGCATCAGCATCAGCATCAGCATCAGCATCAGCATCAGCATCAGCATCAGCATCAGCATCAGCATCAGCATCAGCATCAGCATCAGCATCAGCATCAGCATCCGCATCCGCATCGGCATCGGCATCGGCATCGGCATCGGCATCAGCATCAGCATCGCATCAGCATCAGCATCAGCATCAGCATCAGCATCAGCATCAGCATCAGCATCAGCGCATCAGCATCAGCATCAGCATCCGCATCCGCATCCGCATCGGCATCGGCATCGGCATCGGCATCGGCATCGGCATCAGCATCGCATCAGCATCAGCATCAGCATCAGCATCAGCATCAGCATCAGCATCAGCATCAGCATCAGCGCATCAGCATCAGCATCAGCGCATCAGCATCAGCGCATCAGCATCAGCGCATCAGCATCAGCGCAGCATCAGCGCATCAGTATCAGCGCATCAGCATCAGCGCATCAGCATCAGCGCATCAGCATCAGCGCATCAGCATCAGCGCATCAGCATCAGCGCATCAGCATCAGCATCAGCATCAGCGCATCAGCATCAGCGCATCAGCATCAGCGCATCAGCATCAGCGCATCAGCATCAGCGCATCAGCATCAGCATCAGCGCAGCATCAGCGCATCAGCATCAGCGCATCAGCATCAGCGCATCAGCGCATCAGCATCAGCGCATCAGCATCAGCGCATCAGCATCAGCATCAGCGCAGCATCAGCGCATCAGCATCAGCGCATCAGCATCAGCGCATCAGCGCATCAGCATCAGCATCAGCATCAGCATCAGCATTCGCATCAGCATCAGCATCAGCATCAGCATCAGCATCAGCATCAGCATCAGCGCAGCATCAGCGCATCAGCATCAGCGCATCAGCATCAGCGCATCAGCATCAGCATCAGCATCAGCATCAGCATTCGCATCAGCATCAGCATCAGCATCAGCATCAGCATCAGCATGAGCATGAGCATCAGCATCAGCATCAGCATGAGCATCAGCATGAGCATCAGCATGAGCATCAGCATGAGCATCAGCATCAGCATCAGCATCAGCATCAGCATCAGCATTCGCATCAGCATCAGCATCAGCATCAGCATCAGCATCAGCATCAGCATCAGCATCAGCATCAGCATCAGCATCAGCATCAGCATCAGCATCAGCATCAGCATCAGCATCAGCATCCGCATCCGCATCGGCATCGGCATCGGCATCGGCATCGGCATCAGCATCAGCATCGCATCAGCATCAGCATCAGCATCAGCATCAGCATCAGCATCAGCATCAGCGCATCAGCATCAGCATCAGCATCCGCATCCGCATCCGCATCGGCATCGGCATCGGCATCGGCATCGGCATCGGCATCAGCATCGCATCAGCATCAGCATCAGCATCAGCATCAGCATCAGCATCAGCATCAGCGCATCAGCATCAGCGCATCAGCATCAGCATCAGCGCATCAGCATCAGCGCATCAGCATCAGCGCATCAGCATCAGCGCAGCATCAGCGCATCAGTATCAGCGCATCAGCATCAGCGCATCAGCATCAGCGCATCAGCATCAGCGCATCAGCATCAGCGCATCAGCATCAGCGCATCAGCATCAGCATCAGCATCAGCGCATCAGCATCAGCGCATCAGCATCAGCGCATCAGCATCAGCGCATCAGCATCAGCGCATCAGCATCAGCGCATCAGCATCAGCGCATCAGCATCAGCGCATCAGCATCAGCGCATCAGCATCAGCGCATCAGCATCAGCGCATCAGCATCAGCGCATCAGCATCAGCGCATCAGCATCAGCGCATCAGCATCAGCGCATCAGCATCAGCATCAGCGCAGCATCAGCGCATCAGCATCAGCGCATCAGCATCAGCGCATCAGCGCATCAGCATCAGCGCATCAGCATCAGCGCATCAGCATCAGCGCAGCATCAGCGCATCAGCATCAGCGCATCAGCATCAGCGCATCAGCATCAGCATCAGCATCAGCATCAGCATCAGCATTCGCATCAGCATCAGCATCAGCATCAGCATCAGCATCAGCATCAGCATCAGCATGAGCATGAGCATCAGCATCAGCATCAGCATGAGCATCAGCATGAGCATCAGCATGAGCATCAGCATCAGCATCAGCATCAGCATCAGCATCAGCATCAGCATCAGCATTCGCATCAGCATCAGCATGAGCATGAGCATGAGCATGAGCATGAGCATCAGCATCAGCATCAGCATCAGCATCAGCATCAGCATCAGCATCAGCATCACCATCACCATCACCATCACCGTCACCATCACCATCACCATCACCATCACCTCAGAACAGCATGCCTCGCAGCAGCTGTCGAATAGACAAGTTTCAGGGCGCCTCAAGAATCCTCACTCAGCTTTCTGTCCTCCCTGGCAGGTGCTGCAAGCCATTCTAGACGCTGCCAGCTTGCCTGCTGCTAGCCGTGACGCATCTCATGGCACCACCACCACCACCACCACCACCAGGGAAGCACACCCCGCAGCAGCGGCATCAGCAGCAGCGGCAGCAGCAGCAGCTGTACATACACCAAGCTCTGTACATATGGCTCCCAGTCATTTAGACCCTCCAAGCTCTGTGCATATGCCATGTGCGCCTGCGTCCGCGGACCCCTCCTCTTCCTCCTCCTCCTCCGTGCCCTCCTCCTCTTCCTCCTCTTTCCCCACCACTTCCTCCTCCCCCTCCTCCTCCTCCTCCTCCTCCTCCTCCTCCTCCTCCTCCTCCTCCTCCTCCTCCTCCTCCTCCTCCTCCTCGCCCTCCCAGTCCTCCTCCTCCTCCTCCTTCTCCTCCTCGCCCTCCCAGTCCTCCTCCTCCTCCTCCTTCTCTCTCTCCTTTGGCCTCGAGGTTGCCTCTCTCTCTGCTGCTCTCTGCGCCACAGTATCCTTCACTGTCGTGTCTGTGCCAGCTGGCATGCTTCCTGACGTGCTTAGCTGTCCCTTGACACGTGGCACAGGGGAAGTGGAAGGGGGAGTTGCAGAGGGGGATGAGGGAGGGGAGCAGGAGGGGCAGGAGGGGCAGGAGCGGCGGGAAGGGCAGGAGGGGCAGGAGGGGAAGGAGGGGAAGGAGGGGGAAGGGAGAGGTTCATGGGGCGTGGGGGGTGAGAAGGTTGACAGATATGATTTGTGGGGTCTGTGGCGGAAAAGGGCAGAGGGATGGCGTGTAGGTAATGAATTACCGTTCAGCAGGAGTAGTAGCGTGCAGATGAGAGGCAAATGGGGTGCTATGGAGGGGGATAGGCGGGGGTCCGGAGAAGGAAGGGGCTTTACAGATGAGCTGCTTGGGAGTGGGGGAAAAGGAGGGAAGGGTGGGAGTAGAGAGGAAGGGGCGATAACAGGTACCAGTAACGGCAGTGCGGGAGCGAGAGGGTTTGAGTGGGATGGGAAGCGGTGGGGGAAAGGAGAGGGACGCAGGCGAGGTGTGCTTGTGAGGCAGCTTAGCCAAGGCAGCATGCGGGGAGATGGGGCCGGGGTAGCAAAGGGAGAGGGTGTCGGGGTGGCAAAGGGAGAGGGTGTTTTTGAGAATCCCCAAAAACATCCTGCAACACTTGTGAGGCAGCTTAGCCAAGGCAGCACGCGGGGAGATGGGGCCGGGGTAGCAAAGGGAGAGGGTGTCGGGGGGGCAAGGGGAGAGGGGGCCAGGGCAAGTGAGCATGGAGGGAAGCGAGGACGCTTGCTTAGAACGACCTCTGAACAGCCGCGGATGGTGCGAGCGGGAGGGCTTTGGGGGGAGGTGGCGTTGGGAGGGAGAGACAGGGAAGAGAGGTCGTGGATGTCGAATGGCGAGGTGGATGCGGGTGCGCAGAGCGGTGATGAGGAGTGGAGAGGTGAGGGAGAGGGCCCTAGAGAAGGGGATAGTAGGGATGAAGGGAAGGATGGAGAGGATGAGCATGGGGAGTGCACGCATGGGGAGGATGGGAGGGATGAGGAGGATGGGAGGGATGAGGAGGATGGGAGGGATGAGGAGGATGGGAGGGATGAGGAGGATGGGAGGGATGAGGAGGATGGGAGGGATGAGGAGGATGGGAGGGATGAGGAGGATGGGAGGGATGAGGAGGATGGGAGGGATGAGGAGGATGGGAGGGATGAGGAGGATGGGAGGGATGAGGAGGATGGGAGGGATGAGGAGGATGGGAGGGATGAGGAGGATGGGAGGGATGAGGAGGATGGGAGGGATGAGGAGGATGGGAGGGATGAGGAGGATGGGAGGGATGAGGAGGATGGGAGGGATGAGGAGGATGGGAGGGATGAGGAGGATGGGAGGGATGAGGAGGATGGGAGGGATGAGGAGGATGGGAGGGATGAGGAGGATGGGAGGGATGAGGAGGATGGGAGGGATGAGGAGGATGGGAGGGATGAGGAGGATGGGAGGGATGAGGAGGATGGGAGGGATGAGGAGGATGGGAGGGATGAGGAGGATGGGAGGGATGAGGAGGATGGGAGGGATGAGGAGGATGGGAGGGATGAGGAGGATGGGAGGGATGAGGAGGATGGGAGAGATGAGGAGGATGGGAGGGATGAGGAGGATGGGAGGGATGGGGCAGGGAATGTGGGAGGCGTTGCAAAGCAAGGGAATCGTAGAAGGTGGAAAGGCATATGGAGGGCCCTGGGGCTGATTCGAGGAGGGGAACGAGGAGGGGAGGGGCAAGAGAACGCGAGGGGAAGAAGGGCAAGGGATGTTAGGGCAGTTGATAAAGGCGAGGGGCGAACGAGAGCAGTGTGGGTTGGAGGCGGGCAGAGGAGTGTAGATGGAAGAAGAAATGGTGAGGACAGGCAAGTACCAGCGGAATCAGGCCCCACAGAGTGCATGAGCAATGTTGCTGTCACGGGTGGGGGCAGGCAGCAGCAGGTGGCGGCAGCAGAGGTGCGGAGCGTATGTCTGGACGTGCTCGTGAGTGATGACAGCGCAGAGCAGCAGGTGCTGCTGGGGCTATCGCCTCTGCTGCTCTCCTGTCATTCCGGTGCATCCGACGTAGTCAATCAGGTGCTCCGGTTAGTGAAGCAGCAGGAGAAGCAGCAGAGGAAGCAGCAGGGGAGGCAGCAGGGGAGGAGCGGTGGCAGGGAGGGGAGGAGCAGTGGTGCCTGGGATGGGAGGGGCAGTAGGGGTAGGGAGGGGAGGAGTAGTGGAAGTGGTTCGTTGTTCGCAGCACTGCCTGTGCTGCAAGGGCCGGTGGACACACTTCGAATGGACCATTTTTCAGCTCGAGTAACACAGTTGAAGGATCAAAGGACAGCAGCAGCAGGAGCAGCAGGAGCAGCAGGAGCAGCAGCAGCAGCAGCAGCAGCAGCAGCAGCAGCAGCAGCAGCAGCAGCAGCAGCAGCAGGAGCAGGAGCAGGAGCAGGAGCAGAAGGAACATCATCATCTGCTGGGGCAGTAGAGAGTTTGTGGACTGTTCCTGCTCTGTCTAGTCTTGCTCCTGTTAGAGAGCAGTGGCAGGGGGAGGCGGAGGACGACGACGACGATGAGGAGGAAAAATGCCAGCAGCATACGCAGGAGCACCTTCGGCACATGCCAAGCTTTGTAGGGCCTCGTGCGGGACGCAGAAACAGCAGCAGCAGCAGCAGTGAAACAAGGTCACAATCTCTTTGTGCTTGCTGCGAGGTGTGGCAGGTGTCTGCTTCTGTTGGGCCCATCAGGGGCGAGAGCAGTTCCAGGCTCAAAACGGATGGCGCTTCTGTAGGCATTGCACAACACAAGCAGCAGCAGCAGCAGCAGCGGCGTCGGCGGGTGCAGTGGCGGCAGCAGCGGCAGCGTTCAGAAGCAGCTGACGTGTCAGTTGAGTACCGTTTTCCCTTATCTCCCTCAACTGACGTCCAGAATGGCTCCACTTCTAACCTGGCATGTGCAAGGGATTCCTTCGGTCTGTCCTGGCAGGGAGGGCTCTTCGCTTTGGACCCCGGTGCTCTCTCCCGCCTCTCCCTCTCTCTCTCAGCCCTCTCCCCCCTCTTCACGTTCAGTGTGCCGGGACAAGAGGAGGAGTTGAGGAAGGGGAGGAGGAAGGGGAGCGGAGCTGAAAGGGCAGGCGTGGAGAAGACTGACTTGAGAGGGCAGGGCGCTCCTGAAATGGCAAGTGCTGCTTCTGCTGCAGCAGCAGAGTCCGGAGGTTCCTCTTACATGGAGTGTCTCAGGCTAATGTGTGCGCATGCATGGGTGGAAGTGGGTGGAGTCCGGTTGCTGCTGCAGCACCCTGAGCAAGACAAGGGCGCGTTTCTCGTGCTCCTGAGCGCGTTCGCTTCGTCCGAGGTTGACCCTAGTGGAGTAAATGAAGACGAAGCCAATACGGTTAGAGTGGGTGGAACAAATGCGGTTGGAGTAGGTGCAGCAGATGGTTCTGCCAGTGTTGGAACCGTGAGTGGCAGTTGCAGCAGTGTCAGATACCGGCACAGCAGTGACAGTCACCAGAAGGGCAGCATGCATACAGTGGCTCGTTGTGAGAACTTTCAGAAGAAATGTCTCACCGGCATGCATGCAGTGAGTTTTGACCTCAAGAGATTGGCAGTGAAGAGCATTCGAGGAGGAGGAAACCATTTACAGCGCAGACGGGACTTCCATAGGGCTGGGTCAATTGCTGCTGCCACTGCCGCGGCTGCTGCTTTTGGTGATTCTGCGACCAGTCCTGCGATCGCTGCTGCTTCTCCTGCTGCGTCGTCTGCTGCTCCTCCTCCCGTTGCTCTGGCTGTTCCTGCTGAAAAAGAGGAAGAGGGCGAGAGGGGAGTTGGTCACAGGCATGGGGTAAACATTCGGGGTGAGGGTGATGTGAGGTGGGATGCAAGCAAGCCTGGTTTTTCAGCCAGAGGGGAAGCTCAGGAAGGTGCGAGTGGCAGTGGAGGAGAGGGGCGTTTGAATAGAGACGAGGAGGTGGAAGATGAGTCTGGGGACAGCGATAGTGATGGTGATAGTGACAGGGGCAGTGAGGATGGTGGCAATGGGGATGGTGGCAGTGAGGGTGGTGACTGGGAGAGTGATGTGGATGATGCAGATAGCAGCATTCTGCCAGGCCTTTCTGCTCGCCTGAGGCTGCAGCAGAGATTCGTTCCTGGCGTTGATGGGGGTGTGGTTACTGGTGCGGCTGCAGGTGGTGGTGGCAGTGCTATTTTGGGTCAGAGAGGTTACATTGGCCCAGATAGCAGCATTCTGCCAGGCCTTTCTGCTCGCCTGAGGCTGCAGCAGAGATTTCTTCCTGGCGTTGATGGGGGTGTGGGTACTGGTGCGGCTGCAGGTGATGATGGCATTGCTGCTAAGGGGCAGAAGGAGTACATTGGACCAGCTAGCAAGTGGTGGGATGCGGTGGAGGGGTTTGTTGATGTGCAGGGAGCTGATGTGGCGGTTACAGTGGCAGAGATTCAGGTGAGAGAATCCAAGACCTCCTTTCCAAAACGTGTCTGTCCAGGAGAAAAACTCAGGTTTTTCTTTTAGGCGCCTCAGATTTAGACACCTCCTTTCCGGCATACGCCTGTTTAGGCACCAGTAGCACACGTCTGTTTGCTGGTGCAACTGGTGCTAGAGCATATCCAGTAGCACAAATTGCAGCAGCGGTCGCTATGCACTCACAAGTTCGAACACAAGCAGTTCTTACACACCTAAGCAAGTCATTCTTCCTTGTATTTCCACCAGATGCTGCTGTCGCTCCTCTCGTCCGTCTCACCATCACCAGCAGCAGCAGCAGTCGAAGCACCATCTGCTGACTCGTTACCCACTTTCCAGCCAACCCGCAATGCTGCTCCCGCTGCTATTACCACTGGGAGGACAGGTGGTGAGGGCAGGAAGAGTGGTGGTGTTGCAGCAGCTGCTGCTGCTGCTGCTGCCGGTGTTGGCTCACTCGTGGATATCCATCAAGGTAGGCTGTCTCATCATGCACTAATAGTTCTTTCCCACTGCTATTACCACTGGGGGGACAGGTGGTGGAGGCAGAAAGAGTGGTGTCGCAGCTGCTGCTGCTGCCGGTGTTGGCTCACTTGTGGATGTCCATCAAGGTAGGCTGTTTCATTGATGGTCCCTGCAGCACTAATAGTTCGTTCCTGCTGTGTGAGACATCCACAAGTTATCCAAAACCGGCAGCAGCAGCAGCTGCGACAGCAGGGACCAGCAGTAATAGTTCTTTCCTGCTGTGTAAGAAGGGTGACCTTTCCTCTTTCCTTCTGCGCCCATACCTCTCACCTCTCATCCCCCTCACCCTCTCGTCCCTCTCCCACCCTCACATCCCTTCCACACCCCAAGCAGGTTCCCTAGTGTCTCTTCGGGACCTTGACACACGCCAGTACCTCACAGTTGAAGACTCACCCAGCCTTCACATCCCTCTCAGCACCCCTTTTAATGCCTTGTATCCCGCTCATGCCTCACGTTCCTTCTCATCCTTCGTTTCCCTCACATTCCCTCCACATCCCAAGCAGGTTCACTAGTGTCCCTTCGGGATCTCGACACACGCCAATACCTCACAGTCGAAGACTCACCCAGCCTTGCAAGAATCTAGTTTTTAGGCGCCTCAAAACAAGTGCCCCCCACATCCCTCACACCCCGAGCAGATTCTCTAGTGTCCCTTCGGGACCTCCACACACGCCAATACCTCACAGTTGAAGACTCACCCAGCCTTCACATCCCTCTTAGCACCCCTTTTAATTCCTTGTATCCCGCTCATGCCTCACGTTCCTTCTCATCCTTCGCTTCCCTCACATCCCCCACACCCCAAGCAGGTTCTCTAATGTCCCTTCGGGACCTCGACACACGCCAGTACCTCACAGTCAAAGACTCACCCAACCTTGCAGGAAGCTTCCGTCTTTTGAGTCGACTCAAAAGTCATCCCTCTCAATCCCACTCAATCCCTCTCACCCTCACATCCCTCCCACACCCCAAGCAGGTTCTCTAGTGTCCCTTCGGGACCTTGACACATGCCAGTACCTCACGGTCGAAGACTCACCCAGCCTGTTACCAGGCTCGTCCCTCTCAGCCTTGTATCCCGCTCATGCCTCGATTTCCTTCTCACCCTCGCTTCCCTCACATCCCTTACACACCCCAAGCAGGTTCACTGGTGTCCCTTCGGGACCTCGACACACGCCAATACCTCACGGTCGAAGATTCACCCAACCTTGCAGGAAGCTTCCGGCTGACTTCCATGGCGCACTACAGTCTCGCGTCGACCGACCGGGCGGTGTTTCTTGTCCATTTCCCGGAGAGCCGCGGGTGGCGGGAGAAGCTCAAGCTGCCGTCCTTGCCGTTCCTGCCACATGGTTGGGGGACACAGCCAGGGGAAATGCGCGATGGGCAGGAGCAAGAGAGACAGCGAGAGAGGCAGCGAGAGAGGCAGCAAGAGAGGCAGCGAGAGAGGCAGCAAGAGAGGCAGCGAGAGAGGCAGCAAGAGAGGCAGCAAGAGAGGCAGCAAGAGAGGCAGCAAGAGAGGCAGCAAGAGAGGCAGCGAGAGAGGCAGCAAGAGAGGCAGCGAGAGAGGCAGCAAGAGAGGCAGCGAGAGAGGCAGCAAGAGAGGCAGCAAGAGAGGCAGCAAGAGAGGCAGCAAGAGAGGCAGCAAGAGAGGCAGCAAGAGAGGCAGCAAGAGAGGCAGCAAGAGAGGCAGCAAGAGAGGCAGCAAGAGAGGCAGCAAGAGAGGCAGCAAGAGAGGCAGCAAGAGAGGCAGCAAGAGAGGCAGCAAGAGAGGCAGCAAGAGAGGCAGCAAGAGAGGCAGCAAGAGAGGCAGCAAGAGAGGCAGCAGCAGGAAGGGATTCATTGGGATGACACACCCTTCTGGAGTATTGAGCGGGATGGAAAAACTGCCGTTTCCCGCTGGTTCTGCCTTCAGTCTCCTTACACTGCTGCTGGTACTACAGGCGTAGAAGCAGACACAGAGGCAGGCACAAGCACAGGTGCTAGCACAGGCAGAGACAGAGACACGAGCACAGGTGCAGATGCAGACAGAAGCACGCTCTCAGGCATGCAAGATGCTGAGCAGGTTCCTGCTCGCCGCCCGCTGTGCGTGCACTACCAGCCGAACTCGCCCGGTGGGCGGATTGCGGTGCAGAACAGTAACGAGGGGTCATGGGAGCAGTGGCGGTTGGTGGCAGAGGTAGTGAGGGGTGCAGAGGATGAGGAAGGGGAAGGGGAGAGAGAGGAAGAAGGGGAGGAAGGGGAGGAGGAGGAGAGGGAGGCGGGGGAGAGGGGGGAGAGGGGTGGAGCTGGTGATGAGGAGGAAGAGGAGGCTGGGAAAGAGGAGGTGGTGGGGGCAGCTGGGGAAACTACAGGTGCTAGTGGTGGGAGAGGGGGTGGGGGTGGGGTGAGGGAGAAATCTGCGACGAGAGGTGGAAGGCGTGGGAGGGGCAGCAGAGGGGATAAGCGGAAGTGGGTGATTCGTATGCAGAACCGCAAGACAGGGTCTGATTTTGCGTTTGTGCGAGGGCTTCCTGTGCTGCTGCCGGGTGGGCAGGGCCACGCGGTGCAGATGAGGGTGCTTGTAACGAGGGGCGAGCTTGAGAAGGCGCGGGGAGAAGTCCTGGAGAGAAGGCGAGAAGGTCAAGAAGTTGCAGGTGTAGAGGTTAGGCAGGAGGAGGAGGAGGAGGAGGAGCAGCAGCAGCAGCAGCAGCAGCAGCAGCAGCAGCAGCAGCAGCAGCAGCAGCAGGGTTCGTTGCAATCGTTGGGTCTACACAAGCATTTAACGTACATCCCATCTCTTCGCGTCTCTGTGAGCGATGTCTTCTTCACTATTCTATTCGAGGAAGAAACCAGCAGCAGCAGAAACAGCGGCAGAAACAGCAGCGGCATGAGGAGAAACAGAACAAGACCAGCAGCATCAGCAGTACATGATTCCTTTGAGCACAGGGAGGTGGGCAGCAGTAGCAGCAGCAGCAGCAGCAGCACAGGAAGGATCTCGAGAGGTGGAGCGAAATCGAAAGGGTTTATCTGGGACGGGGTGCAGCACAGCCCACCTGTGCTGCCGCTGATTCGGGTACATGTGGGGGAGGTGGCATCTGTGGCTCAGCTGGGATCGCACAAGACTCGCCTGTTCGGGGCCTGCCGCGTCCAAGTGACCACTTACGATGGCCAGAGGAGCCGATGGTGAGGGGTTAAGAGAAAGGTTTAATGGTTGGGAGGTCCGGTTTAGTTGGGGTGGTGTTCAGGGTTAAGGTTTTGGGTCGCACAAGACTCAGCTGTTCGGGGCCTTCCGTGTCCAAGTGACCACTTACGATGGCCAGAGGAGCCGATGGTGAGGGGTTAACAGAATGGTTTCAGGGTTTGGGGTTTGGGTTCGTTTGGGATGGTGTTCAGGGTTGAAGGTTTTGGTTCACACAAGACTCGCCTGTTCGGGTTCTGCCGTGTCCAAGTGACCACTTATGATGGCCAGAGGAGCCGATAGTGAGGGGTTAACAGAAGGGTTTAGGCGTAAGGGTTTGGGGTTTGGTTGGGGAAGTGTGCAGCTTTGAAAGGTTTGGGGATTCATGATAAGTGGATGAAAGGGGAGCTTTTCTTTATTGGCAGCCCTTCAATTTCTTCCTGTCTCTCCCCCCTCCCCGCAAACCCAATCAGGGCTAGTCTTCTCACGTCAAGCCCAGTGGACATCTTCTGGCGCTCCCGTACACTCTGTACCCCTTATAAGCCTGGGACGCTGGCGCTGGTGAGGGTGCAGCAGGTGCGGGTGGTGGTGGAGGAGGAGTCGCTGGACGCGCTGCTGCTGCTGGTGGGGCTGCTGGGACTCGCAGGGCCGTATACGGTCCGCCACTCACCGATTCTCGCCAACCGGTGCATGGTATGTTTGGGGGTTTGGGGTTTAGAGAGTGCAGCAGGTGCGGGTGGTGGTGGAGGAGGACACTCTGGACGCGCTGCTGCTGCTGGTGGGGCTGCTGGGCCTCGCAGGCCCGTACACCGTCCGCCACTCACCGATTCTCGCCAACCGGTGCATGGTATGAATGCGTGTTTACAGTGGAGGCAGGGATTTTGGGTCGGGGTTTTGGGGTTTAAAGGGTGCAGCAGGTGCGGGTGGTGGAGGAGGAGTCGCTGGATGCGCTGATGCTGCTGGTGGGGCTGCTGGGGCTGGCAGGGCCTTACACCGTCCGCCACTCACCCATCCTCGCCAACCGGTGCATGGTAAGCTGAGGGTTAGGGGGTTGAGTTGAGTGCTCAGAGTTTAGGGTGTGAGGTTCAGGGTAAGGCTCTGTGGGAGTGTCTGGACGCGCTGCTGCTGCTGGTGGGGCTGCTGGGGCTGGCAGGCCCGTACACTGTCCGCCACTCACCCATCCTCGCCAACCGATGCATGGTAGAAAGAGTCCTGAAGGTCTAGTAGGGGTAGGGTTTAAATTCAGGGCTGTGAAGGAGTCTCTGGATGCGCTGCTGCTGCTGCTGAGGGGGCTGCTGGGCCTGGCAGGGCCGTACACCGTCCGCCACTCCCCCATCCTCGCCAGCCGATGCATGGTAAGCTGAGAATTAGGGATACTGCTCAGGGTGTGGGGTTCAGGGTTAGGGGGATAGTAGCAGGGCTAGCAGGGCTGCTGTGTACAGAGAGAGTAGGGGGAGTTGATTGGATTCGGCTTGCCTGCTTGTCCACTGTCCGTCCCCTCCCTCCCCGCTCCCCCCTCGCACCCAGGTGACCAACAACACGACTCTCCGCCTTGCCTGTTCCTTCTTCAACCACGCCTCTGATAGCTCTCCTGCTGCTGCTGGGAGTTCGCTTGCTGATATTGGCCGCTCGGCGGTGATACCCAAGCAGGGAGTGGAAGAACCAGCGGCAGCAGCATGGGGAAGCGGAGGAGGAAGGGGCGCATCTGAGGCAGTGATTGGGTGCAGAGGCACAGGGACGTTTCTTGTGCGGTGAGTGACGGGTGTATATGTATGAGCGATACATGAGCTGGATAATTCTGTATGAGCTGGATGATTCGAATTCGAACCGAGCTGAGCTGTCTGGGGTTGACTTGACTCTTCACGTTCTTTTAGCGTCGTCTACTGTTGGAGTGTGATGTGAAGAGCGTTATGGTCACCCATGTGAAGTGATTTGAGATTTAAACCACCCTTGTGTGTCATTTGAGGCGCTTGACAAGTCTCAACGAGTGATGAGTCCCACAGCACTCTTGCCCCTGTGGTGAGTCGACTCAAAAATCGACTTGTGTGCCATTTGAGGCGCTTGACAAGTCTCAACGAGTGATGAGTCCCACAGCACTCTTGCCCGTGAACCGTAGTTTTCCTTTTCCCTCCATCCCCCTCTCCCTCTTCCTTTTTCCTGTTTCCTCTTTTCTCTGCCGCTCTTCGTTCCGCTCTGTGCCATTCCCCCTGCAGGCACTTCCTGTCCCGCAGGAACCTCTCCAACGCCCGCGAGTCGTCTCTTGCTTTCCTGCGCCTCTTGCCACCACCACTTCCAAAGGCGCAGCACCGCACCAAACAGCACCAAACAGAGCACCACCGATCAGAGCCGGAGCAAGCAGAGCAGCAACGGAAGCAGCAGCAAAAGGGGAAGCAGCAGGAGGGACAGCGGCAGAAGGGGAAGCAGGAGGTGGGGAAGCAGCAGGAGCAGCAGGAGGCAGCAGCAGCAGAGCAGGAATGGGTGCTGCCTCTTTCCATCTCCATCGCCACAGAGGGCTCTCTGGCTGTCCGCACACGCCTGCTCCAAGGTCAGTCCGCCTCTCTGAATTCGCATACAGCTCACTAGCACTTGGCCAGATCTCAGCCCTTCCGCGCCTTCATCTTCGTTGCCCCATTCCACTAGTGCATGAAGAATCTACATGTCCCTGAGAACCATACACTTCTAGGGTTTAGGCCTGCCTTCGAACCCACTCATGTCTTTTCCCCCACTAGAATAAGCAGGCTGGCGTGGCGCCTCTCTGGCAAGCTCTGCTGAGTCTCGTTTTTCCCCAGTAACACGCGTGCAATGGTTTTCTTTTCCTCCTCCTCTACTCTTCGTGTGCAGGATCGGGTCAAACAACGGCCCCTTCCATGCCAGGCCCAATGGTGGTGCTGCACGTGTCCAAGAGAACACCCGAGGGCGTACGTCTCTCCATCTCCCCCTTCCTCTCTGTCCGCAACAACACTGGTTGCCCCTTGCAAGTCTGCCTGCGCCGCCGCCCTGCTCCCTTCAGACGAGCTTCAGCAGCTGCTGCTGGTTCTGCCGCTGGTGCTGCTGGGATGGGGGCGGTGGGGCAGGCAGGAACGGCAGTGGCCAAGCAGGATGAATTGGGGTCAGTGCAGCTAGGAAGGCCAGAGCAGGTGGTGCAAGGAGGCGCTGCAGGAGAGCTGCAGGGAGTTTCAGCAGTAGCAGAGCGAGGAGGGGAGGGGGGTGCACATCAGAAGGGGCTAGAGGTGGTGGAGCAGTTGCAGCAATGGCAGGCTCTGGACGATGCTTCTCTCTGTTTTCGCTTTGCTGCTTCTGCGGGCGAGCAGCGCCGCCTTGTCAACGACCTTGCTGCTGGTACGACATTGCTTGGGGCACTTGCATTGTGTGTCTCCTTCCGCTCCTGTCCTGTGGTTGTTTATCCAGCTCACCTGATTTGTCTCTTGGATAATTCAACGTTATTTTGCACTCAAAATCTCCACATGCCTCTCTGCCTACCCATCTGTTGAGTCCAGGCAATTATCTGCTGTCCTTTCGGCCACCTGCTGTCACAACCATGTCGCCCGGCCACGGATCGCCTGCCAGAAGCACCTCGACTGTGGCTTGGACTCGCTCCCAGCAGCAACAGGCGACTCTGCAGGAAAAGCAGCAGCAGCAGCATGAGGAGCACGAGCAGGGGCAGCAGCTGTGCTTTGATTGGTCGGAGGCGATCTCGGGATCTCAGGCAGTGAGAGACAAGAGCTGGCTGGACGGCATACAGCGGCAGATGAAGACAAAAATGGGCCGCATGCTACAGCTCAGCCAGATGCTACATCTGAGCGGCGCGCTCAATTCGTCCTTTTCCACCCTCACTTGCCGCCCAAAAAGGTCTTCTGCTCCCTCCACCGTTTACAGCAACACTGCCGGGTCTGGTGGTTCGGAAGCTCCCAAGCCTGACGGCCAGGCTCGGGAAAGGGCTGGTCTAGAAGGGTCAGGAGATGACACAGGTTCTGAAGTCGGGGCCGAGATTCGGCATTTTCTGGTGAAGGTGGGGACTGAGGAGGTTCATCTGGGGGCGTTGAGGGACGGGCAAGTGGTGAGTGACATGCAAGGGGGAGGGAGGAGAGGGGAGGTGGGGGGGAGTGAGCGGGAGGGGGGGGGAGGGGAGGGGGGTGGCATGGGTGCGGCCGATGCAGGTAGAGGTGCTGCCCACTGCTCGATTGCGCTGCTGGCTCCCGTTTGATATAGTGGTCTGTATCTCACCTTCTAAGAAGGATGCCTTGGCTGCTGCTGCAGTTGTTGCTGCTGCTGCTGCTAATGGTGCTGCTAGTGGTGGTAGTGCTGGCACTGCCACTGCCGCTGCTGCTGTGTCTGTGGCTGATGCATCTGTTCTTCGCATCCCCGCCGCCTCTTCTGGCTGGCTTTCTCTCTTTGCCGACCCCTCCTGGTGCTACCTCACTCTCCTCCACATTTCCTCGCCTGCATCACCTGCGAAACCACCTGAAAGGCAGCCGCAGGAAACGGCTGATGCAGCACCTGAAACAGCGCCTGGAGCAAGGGGATCTGGGCCTGAAACTACCAGTGTGACTGTAGCGAGTGTCAGTGTGACTGTAGCGAGTGCCAGTGTGACTGTAGCGAGCAGCATGTGGAGCAGCGCCCCTGTCCACGTGCCCTGTGCTGGTAACCTGATGGCGCTGCTGGCCCGTGACGTGCTGCCACCTGTCAAGGGCGCAGTTGCTCTTGCCCACCTGGGGGGATTGCCGTCGTCTGGTGGGAACGAGGTTCAGGTGAAACTGCACCAGGTGAATTCTGAAGAGAGGCAGGAGCAGCAGCAGGTGAATCCTCAGCAGCAGCAGCAGCAGCAGCAGCAGCAGGCACAGCAGCGGGGTGTCTCATTCAGAGGCAGTGTTTGTGAGATGGCAGTGCAGCTGCGGACTCGATACAGCGAGAGGGATGCTGTGCCTGAGGTGAGCGTGGGTGATACCCCTGACGCGCCCGTTCCCTTCTCTATGGCTGCCAGCCCATTGATACCATCCTTTTTCTCAACCATGCTCCTTTTCCCCCCTCTGCGTTTCTATGCAGTTTCAGATCTTCCCTGCATGGACCATCCGCAATGCCACTGCCACGCCATTGCTCTGCTCCCTGGCTGGAAACCCATTGGAATCATCCTGGGTGCAAGATGGCAGGGGGAAGAGAGGAGGCCGAGCGCAGCAGCAGTCACAGACCTCTTCACCGCACTCCACCGCGTCACTTCTTCTGAACCCCAGCACTGCCAAGCCGTGGCTTGCTGTGTGAGTGCATGTTGATTGTTCGCTCCCTTGTTCACCTTCGAATACTCTGCTCCTTTGCTCCCTTGCTGCTCTCTTCCTTTTCTCCTCTCCTGATTTGCTCCTATGGATTTGTGGTTAGTCTCGTTCTTCCTTGCTCTGGAAGCGCAACATCTGTTGTTGTAGAGCGCAAGGCAACATGACAACACTCCCCAGGCTATGAATCACCCTCGTGTGATAAGTCGATTTCTTAGTCGACTAAAAAAAAAAGGCAACATGACAACAATCAGCAGGCTATGAAGTGCCCTCTTTCACTCTTCCCTCCTGGCTTCTCCCGCAGAGGCACGTCTGTCTGCATTTCCATCGCACAGGCACAGGAGGATACAAGCCAAGGGGGGTTTGCGAGAGGCAGCAACAGGGAGAGGGGAAGCAGCAGTGTTGCGAGAAGAGGGGCCACCATTGATCTCTCTTCCATCTGCCGTACCACAGAGATACAGCTGGTGCAGTATGTACCCGTTTTAAAGGGCAGGGAGGCCACTGTAAGAGAACAGGAGATGTCCATAAGGGGTACAAGAAGAAGAGGTCAGGAGCAGCAGAGGGCAAAGGAGAGGCGGCGGCTAGAGACTGTGATGGAAGGTGGGGAGGAAGGGGAGCAAGGGGAGGAAGGGGAAGAAGGGGAAGAAAGGGAAGGAGGGGATGTGGAGGGTGGTGTCCCTGCTGCTGCTGCTGAGGCAGCGTGTGATTGGCCGCTGCGCTGCTTCCAGTTTGCTGTGCGCCTGCGCCTGTCAACGAGTGGCAGTCCGACTCGTGTGGCTGAGATCTGTCCAAGATACGTCGTGCGCAACCGCTTCCCCGTGCCTCTGCTCGTGTGCCAGGAAGGACTAGAGGTGAGTTAGGTTGGGGGGACGAGGAGGGAGATGGAAGGGAGGGGTTGAAAATGGAGGTGGGTTCGGGCAGGGGGTCGGACTGGTGGTGGTTGGTGGTGGCCGGTTATCGCGGTTTCCCAGTATCCCGGTATCCCGGTTTCCCGGTATCCCGATATCCCAGTATCCCGGTTTCCCGGTATCCCGGTTTCCCGGTATCCCGGTTTCCCGGTATCCCGGTTTCCCGGTTTCCCGGTATCCCGGTTTCCCGGTTTCCCGGTTTCCCGGTTTCCCGGTTTCCCGGTTTCCCGGTTTCCCGGTATCCCGGTATCCCGGTTTCCCGGTTTCCCGGTATCCCGGTTTCCCGGTTTCCCAGTTTCCCGTCCCGGTTTCCCGGTTTCCCGGTATCCCGGTTTCCCGGTTTCCCGGTTTCCCGTTTTCCCGGTTTTCCGGTTGCCCGGTTGCCCGGTTGCCCGGTTGCCCGGTTGCCCGGTTTCCCGGTTGCCCGGTTGCCCGGTTGCCCGGTTGCCCGGTTTCCCGGTTTCCCGGTTTCCCGGTTTCCCGGTTTCCTGGTATCCCGGTTGTTTCCCGGTTTCCCGGTTTCCCGGTTTCCCGGTTTCCCGGTTTCCCGGTTTCCCGGTATCCCGGTATCCCGGTTTCCCGGTTTCCCGGTATCCCGGTATCCCGGTTTCCCAGTTTCCCGTCCTGGTTTCCCGGTTTCCCGGTTTCCCGGTATCCCGGTTTCCCGGTTTCCCGGTTTCCCGGTTTCCCGGTTTTCCGGTTGCCCGGTTGCCCGGTTGCCCGGTTGCCCGGTTGCTTGGTTGCCCGGTTGCCCGGTTGCCCGGTTTCCCGGTTGCCCGGTTGCCCGGTTGCCCGGTTGCCCGGTTTCCCGGTTTCCCGGTTGCCCGGTTTCCCGGTTTCCCAGTTTCCGGGTATCCCGGTTGTTTCCCGGTTTCTCGGTTTCCCGGTTTCCCGGTTTCCCGGTTGCCCGGTTTCCCGGTTGCCCGGTTGCCCGGTTGCCCGGTTGCCCGGTTTCCCGGTTTCCCGGTTGCCCGGTTTCCCGGTTTCCCGGTTTCCGGGTATCCCGGTTGTTTCCCGGTTTCTCGGTTTCCCGGTTTCACGGTTTCCCGGTTTCCCGGTTTCCCGGTTGCCCGGTTGCCCGGTTGCCCGGTTGCCCGGTTGCCCGGTTTCCCGGTTTCCCGGTTTCCCGGTTTCCCGGTATCCCGGTTGTTTCCCGGTTTTTCGGTTGCCCGGTTTCCCGGTTACCCGGTTGCCCGGTTGCCCGGTTGCCCGGCTGCCCGGCTGCCCGGCTGCCCGGCTGCCCGGCTGCCCGGCTGCCCGGTCGCCCGGTCGCCCGGTCGCCCGGTCGCCCGGTCGCCCGGTTGCCCGGTTGCCCGGTTGCCCGGTTGCCCGGTTTCCCGGTTGCCCGGTTGCCCGGTTGCCCGGTTTCCCGGTTTCCCGGTTTCCCGGTTTCCCGGTTTCCCGGTTTCCTGGTATCCCGGTTGTTTCCCGGTTTCTCGGTTTCCCGGTTTCCCGGTTTCCTGGTTGCCAGGTTGCCCGGTTGCCCGGTTGCCCGGCTGCCCGGCTGCCCGGCTGCCCGGCTGCCCGGCTGCCCGGTTGCCCGGTTGCCCGGTTGCCCGGTTGCGGTTGCCCGGTTGCCCGGTTGCCCGGTTTCCCGGTTTCCCGGTTTCCCGGTTTCCCGGTTTCCCGGTTTCCCGGTTTCCCGGTATCCCGGTTGTTTCCCGGTTTCCCGGTTTCCCGGTTGCCCGGTTGCCCGGTTGCCCGGTTGCCCGGTTGCCCTGTTGCCCGGTTGCCCGGTTGCCCGGTTGCCCGGTTGCCCGGTTGCCCGGTTGCCCGGTTTCCCGGTTTCTCGGTTTTCCGGTTGCCCGGTTGCCCGGTTGCCCGGTTGCCCGGTTGCCCGGTTGCCCGGTTGCCCGGTTGCCCGGTTGCCCGGTTGCCCGGTTGCCCGGTTGCACGGTTGGCCGGTTGGCCGGTTTCCGGTTTCCCGGTTTCCCGGTTTCCCGGTTTCCCGGTTGCCCGGTTGCCCGGTTGCCCGGTTGCCCGGTTGCCCGGTTGCCCGGTTGCCCGGTTGCCCGGTTGCCCGGTTGCCCGGTTTCCCGGTTTCCCGGTTTCCCGGTTTCCCGGTTTCCCGGTTTCCCGGTATCCCGGTTGTTTCCCGGTTTTTCGGTTGCCCGGTTTCCCGGTTGCCCGGTTGCCCGGTTGCCCGGTTGCCCGGTTGCCCGGTTGCCCGGCTGCCTGGCTGCCCGGCTGCCCGGCTGCCCGGCTGCCCGGCTGCCCGGCTGCCCGGCTGCCCGGTCGCCCGGTCGCCCGGTCGCCCGGTCGCCCGGTCGCCCGGTCGCCCGGTCGCCCGGTCGCCCGGTTGCCCGGTTTCCCGGTTTCCCGGTTTCCCGGTGGTATCCCGGTTTCCCGGTTTCCCGGTTTCCCGGTTTCCCGGTTGCCCGGTTGCCCGGTTGCCCGGCTGCCCGGCTGCCCGGCTGCCCGGCTGCCCGGCTGCCCGGCTGCCCGGTCGCCCGGTCGCCCGGTCGCCCGGTCGCCCGGTCGCCCGGTCGCCCGGTCGCCCGGTCGCCCGGTTTCCCGGTTTCCCGGTTTCCCGGTGGTATCCCGGTTTCCCGGTTGCCCGGTTGCCCGGTTGCCCGGTTGCCCGGTTGCCCGGTTGCCCGGTTGCCCGGTTGCCCGGTTGCCCGGTTTCCCGGTTTCCCGGTTTCCCGGTTTCCCGGTTTCCCGGTTTCCCGGTTTCCCGGTTTCCCGGTTTCCCGGTTTCCCGGTTTCCCGGTTTCCCGGTATCCCGGTATCCCGGTATCCCGGTTGCCCGGTTGCCCGGTTGCCCGGTTGCCCGGTTGCCCGGTTGCCCGGTTGCCCGGTTGCCCGGTTGCCCGGTTGCCCGGTTTCCCGGTATCCCGGTATCCCGGTATCCCGGTTTCCCGGTTTCCCGGTTTCCCGGTTTCCCGGTATCCCGGTTTCCCGGTTTCCCGGTTTCCCGGTATCCCGGTATCCCGGTATCCGGGTATCCCGGTTGCCCGGTTGCCCGGTTGCCCGGTTTCCCGGTATCCCGGTATTCCGGTATCCCGGTATCCCGGTTTCCCGGTTTCCCGGTTTCCCGGTTTCCCGGTATCCCGGTTTCCCAATTTCCTGGTTTCCCGGTATCCCGGTTTTCCAATTTCCCTGTTTCCTTGTTTCCCGGCATCCCAGCATCCCGGATTCCCGGTTTCCCGGCATCCCGGTGTCCATGTCTCTACCTTCCCCGGCGTCCCGGCATCCCGGCATCCCGGTTTCTCGGTTTCCCAGCTTCCCGGTATCCCGGTATCCATGTCTCTACCTTCCCCTCCCATGCGCGATCCATGGCAGTACTTCCCTGAGCTCTGGACCACCATACAGCCAGGCGCATCTGCACCCATCCACGCCCAATCACCATCACACATCTGGTCCTCTCGCTCCTCCCTCGCCCTCTCCTTCTCCCCCTCCTCCCCCTACTCTCCCCACTCTCCTCCAAATCCTTCCTCCCACGATTCTGTGCTGGAAGAGGGCGGCATCATTCGTCCTTTCCTGCGCTTCCGCCCGCTGGATTTTTCCGATTCGTTCTCGCCTGCTCCATCTCCTCGAGGCCAGTCACAGTCTGCCACGTGGCACTGGTCCGGGCCATTCGGGGCGGCGTCTCTCGGCTCGTTCTGCCTCAAGATGCGCTCTCACAGCAACAGCGGCAACACTGACAATTCCAGCCACCCACTAGGAGGAACCTTCCCCGAAGCACCTCCATCCCCATCCCCATCGTCCCCATCATCACAATCACCATCACCAGCAGCAGCAGCAGCAGCAGCATCTCTCCAGCGCCAGCTGTCGATGTCGGTTGTAGCGGCAGGTGGCGTGCGCGTGCTACAGCCGGTGCTCTTCGCCGTTGCTGACGTGGCAGAAGGAGCACCTAGTCTGAAGTTGAGCACATTAGCAGAGCAAGCAGCGGATCCGGGAGGAATGGGAATGGGGCCTAGCGATGGTTCAGGTGCTGATGCAGCAGGGAAGAATGAACCCTCGGTGGCAACATCACCAGCAGCACCAGCAGCAGAGGCGGCAGTGGGCGGCACGTGGGTGGCGGAGATTCGTCCAGTGGACGGCATGAGGGAGGCGCCGTACCGCATTGAGAACGCTCTCCTGGGATTGGCCGTCTCTGTTTCACAGAAGGTGGGTGGATGGGCAGGTCAGGCCTGTAGCCAGCCAGCTGTTGCAAGAAGAAAAGAAAAGAAAAGAAGAAGAAAACAAAAAACAATGTATGTAGAGCAGAAGGTGAGTAGAAGAAGGCTGGGCTGTAGCATTTAGTGCGAAAGGTTAAAAAAAAAAGGACCGTGTGTGTGACTATATGCTATGACGCTGTACTGATTGTGATTGCGTGTTGCATGTTGCCTGTACTGCAGGGTTCTGAGGGGTGGGAGGTGGTGGAAGCAGGTGAATCGGTTCCCTTTACCTGGGAAGACTGGCGCTTACCCAAGAGACTGCTTCTCACTGCTACAGGTGCGTTCTTTTGTCGACTCATAATCCACCTGGTACGTCGTTGGTGTGTTTTCTTTTGCAATTCGCAGCTGATGTCACTGACACTGAGCTCCCTTGTGCTCCTTTATTGTGTTTCCCCCATTCATTCTCACTCCTCCCTGCCCTCGCTGCAGGATGCACGCCACAGCAGGAGGTGAGTCCCGACTCCCGACAAGGTCAAGCTGTGGCGGCGCCTGCGTCTGTCTGTCTGTCCCACACTGCTTTCCCCTCCCTGTACCGTTGCCTTTCTCCTGCCCATCCCCCCTGTCCCGCTGCCCGCGCTGCAGGATGCACGCCGCAGGAGGAGGTAAGTCCCGACAAGGTGAAGCCGCAGTGTTGCCTGCGGCTCTCCCAATCAGCCTTCCCCTCCCTTGCCATTGCCTTTCCCCTGCCCATCCTTGCTCCCCACCGCATTCCCAGGTTGCACGCCACAGCAGGAGGTGAGTGCTGACAAGGTCAAGCCGTGGCGCCGCCTGCGCCTCTCCCACTCCGCCTTCCCCTCCCTGCTACCGTTCCACCTGCCCTTCCACCTGAGCCAGTGGAAAGGGACTGAGGATGAGGGGGCGCAGGAGGAAGAGGAGGAGGATTTTGATGACGATGCTTACAAGTATGAGGACGAGGAGGAGGGGCAAGAGGAGGGAGAAGGTGCTGGGGAGGACGCAACTGAGGAAGGTGGAATCGTCGATGGAAGCAGGGGCAGCAGCAGAGGCAGGGCCAAGGGTAGAGGCAGCACGAGTTCTTTGGCAAGACAGCAAGCGGCAAGGCAGCAGGCGGCAAGGCAGCAGGTGGTGGGAGTGGAGGTGTATGCAGATGGGCCGATCCGTGTGGTGCGTGTGTGCACGAGGGAGGGTGCCAAGGACCGGGAGGGCTCGGGCAGAAAGGGTGGTGCTGGGGATGCTGGTGTGAGCAGTGGTGCTACAACCGGGAGTGCGGCGGTTTTGACTGGTGGTGGGACGGAAGGGGGCGGCATGGGGACAGTGCATGTGAGGGAGATGGAAGGCATGTTGGAGGTAGAAGGAGTTGACATCAAGCTGCTGCAGGTGAGCTCGTCTCACCATGTGATTGCTGTACATAGGAGTTCTCAATAAGAAACAAGGGGGCGGCAGGGAGGCAGGGGATGTGTGAGGGAGATGGAAGGGATGGTGGAGGTGGAAGGAGTTGACATTAAGCTGCTGCAGGTGAGTTATACTGGGATCATTGCTTACTTTTGAGAATTCTTAAAAGTGACACAAGGGGGTGGCATGGGGACAGGGGATGTGAGGGAGATGGAAGGGATGGTGGAGGTGGAAGGGGTTGACATCAAGCTGCTGCAGGTGAGCTCTCCTCACCTCACCTCACCTCACCTCACCTCACCTCACCTCACCTCACCTCACCTCACCTCACCTCACCTCACCTCACCTCATCTCACCTCACCTCACCTCACCTCACCTCACCTCTCCTCACCTCACCTCACCTCACCTCACCTCACCTCACCTCACCTCACCTCACCTCATCTCACCTCACCTCACCTCTCCTCTCCTCACCTCACCTCACCTCTCCTCTCCTCACCTCACCTCACCTCACCTCACCTCACCTCACCTCACCTCACCTCTTCCTCTCCTCACCTCACCTCACCTCACCTCACCTCACCTCACCTCACCTCACCTCACCTCACCTCACCTCACCTACCCTGGCAATTCTATTCACACATGTGTATGTTTAACTTGTCAGGGACTCTTTTTCACCCTTTGTATTGGTCCTTGCATCCCTGCCACCAGTCTGGGGCCTCCTTCGATCCGAGTGCAAAGGAGGAGGCAACACCCACAGGGAGGGTTCGAGAGAGGAGAGAAGGGAAGGAGCCCGAGGGCGAGGAAGAGAGAGGGGACGAGGAAGAGGAAGAGGAGAGGGAGGAGGAGGAGAGGGAGGAGGAAGAGAGGGAGGAAGAAATGGCTCGACGGGTGTTGCTTCATGGGCGGGCAGACGGACTGTGGGCATCCTTGTCTCTTTCTCAAAGAGACCTGGCTTTTGAGGCTGTGCTATGTGTGAGTGATTCTTGAACTTCATACCAGAAGCATTTCTTCGCTGGTGCTGTTATTCCTGTATGGGCGGGCAGAGGGCCTGTGGCCTTCCTTGTCTCTTTCTCACCTGGACTTGGCTCTTGAGGCCGTCCTTTGTGTGAGTGGAACTTAAACTTCACACCAGAAGCATTTCTTCGCTGGTGCTGTTATTGCTTCCCGAGTGTGCGGACGGCCTGTGGGCGTCCTTGTCTCTTTCTCAAAGAGACCTGGCTCTTGAGGCCGTGCTGTGTGTGAGTGGATATGAGACGGTGTTGTTTGTGACCTGCTGCTAGCCTCCATGTCTTTGTTTGTACCGTTATTGCTGTGTGCCCATATCCATGCCCACAACGATGCTTTTGGATTGGTGCATCGACTTTTGAGGCGCCTCAAAAGTATTGCTGTGTGCCCATGTTCATGCCGACAACGATGCTTTTAGGGTGGTGCATCGAGAACATGAATCCACTCGTTAACCTCCTGCACCCCTCCCCCCCCCCACCACCACCACTTTCCACCACCTCCACCCTGCTTCCCTCTCTTCCACCCCCCCCTCCCTCTCTTCCACCCCCCCCTCCCTCTCTTCCACCCACACAGAATGCGGGTATCGACTCTCGCTGCCCGTCCCTCAAGCCCCCACCGCTCCCCATCTCTCTCAACCAGCCCTCCACCGCACAGCACCCCATCCTCTCCTCCGCCGTGGTTCTCCGCTCCCTTAACCCATCCCCCTCCACGGATGCTGCTGCTGCTGGCGGCACCATCATAGGACGGGCGTTGAGGGACCGACGGGTGGGGAAGGAAGGCGTGGGAGGGGCAGGAGGGATGGGAGGAGGAGGTGGAGGAGGGGGAGGAGGGCGAGGATGGGGAGGAGGAAGGGAAGGAGGAGGAGGGGCTCCGTTGTGTTCGATGGCAGTGGTGGTGAATCGGCTTTCTTCCCAGCCGCAGCACATCCGCTCTGCATCCTTCCTGCTGCAGGTGCGTCTAGAATGCGTTTGAGGTGCCTCAAAAGGAGGAGGAGGGGCTCCGTTGTGTTCGATGGCAGTGGTGGTGAATTGGCTTTCTTCCCAGCCGCAGCACATCCGCTCCGCATCCTTCCTGCTGCAGGTGCGTCTAGAATGCTGCTGCTAGTGGCGGGCTTGTTTGGGAACCGTTTCCTTTATGTGTGCCTTTATTGGTGCTCTTGATGCCTTGACAGAATCACTTGGCCAATTACAATATAAAAAAACCCAACTCATATAGTACACAATGGTAGAATGTAGATGGATGGATACATATGACTCCTACATGGAAAGCCCAGCAAACTAAAAGAACATGGGTACCCAACAACATAATCTCATCCCATCCCACCCCATCCCACCCCGTCCCCCCACACCACCCCACCACATCAGCCAGTGGAGGTGAACATAGATGAGAGCACGCTGCTGCGCCTCGTGCCCTTTTACCGCTGCAAGGATCCCAGCGTGCCCGTGCGCGACTGGAGCACCACGCCCATCTATATCGAATACCTCGAGATTCACCCTGTCAAGGTGCGAGAAACAACTCCTTGTTTCAGCCTCTGGTGTGTGTTGAAACTAGGGCATCTAACTGCTGTGCCCGTGCGCGACTGGAGCACCACGCCCATCTACATCGAGTACCTCGAGATCCACCCCATCAAGGTGTGCTATATCTGAGATACGAGCAATTGGTGTTGTTTGGGTCATATCAGAATTCTTTCCCAGCGCACCAGGCGCCTTTGACTACTCATCAGAACAGGATGCACATCAGGCAGGTTTCAGCCCAATGTGTATTGCCCATTCCTCATTCCCCATTCCCCCATCCTCCCCCCCTCAGGTGGTGGCGAGTTTCCTCCCCAGTGCACCGGGCGCCATTGACTACTCGTCAGCACAGGAAGCACACCAGGCAAGATTAAACCCAGTGTGTGTTGCCTATCCCCTACCACCCATCCCCCATCCCCCGTCCCCCATCCCCCAACATTTGCCTCAGGTGGTGGCGAGTTTCATCCCCAGTGCACCGGGTGCCGTCGACTACTCGTCAGCACAGGAGGCGCTGAGGGGGATTCTGCCCTTGCTTGTTCAAGTGCTCTAGGCACACATTCTGCCACACCATTACCCAATATGTATCCCCCATCCCCCAACCGCTTTTGCCTCAGGTGGTGGCGAGTTTCCTCCCCAGTGCACCGGGCGCCATTGACTACTCGTCAGCACAGGAGGCGCTGAGGGGGATTCTGCACTCCGTGATCCAAGTGCTCTACACACGCAATCTGCCACACCATTGCCCAATGTGTAAACACCCCATTCCCCCATCCTCCACCCATCAGGTGGTGGCGAGTTTTCTCCCCAGTGCACCGGGTGCCATAGACTGCTCGACAGCACAGGAGGCGCTGAGAGACATTCTGGCCTAGCTTGTTCAAGTGCTCTAGGCACACATTCTGCCACACCACTACCCAATCTGTATCCCCCCATCCCCCACCCCTCCCTCAGGTGGTGGCGAGTTTCCTTCCCAGCGCACCAGGTGCCATAGACTACTCATCAGCACAGGAGGCGCTGAGGGGGATTCTGCACTCCGTGATCCAAGTGCCAGCAGTGCAGCGCACACCCATCCACCTGCACGGGCTGCTGCTGACGCATGCTCTCACATCCTCGAAGCAGATGGTTGCTAAACTCACAAGGCACTACTCGTGGTAAGTCTGCTGCTAGGAGTGGGAGGGAGGATGTAAGCTCATAAGTGGTAGTACCTCCCTCCACTCGGTGTTTCAAGTGCCAGCAGTGCAGCGCACGCCCATCCACCTGCATGGGCTGCTGCTGACGCATGCTCTCACATCCTCCAAACAGATGGTTACCAAGCTCACAAGACACTACTCGTGGTGAGATTTGCTGCCTTGTACAAATCATGCCTTCCCACTCGGTGATCCATGCGCCGGCAGTGAAGCGCACGCCCATCACAGCTCGCTTTGACCACTCCCCTTCTCCTTTTCTCCCCCCTTTCCCCTTATCTGCTCTGCCCTACCCTCCTCAATCCACCAGGTACGTCCTGAGAGCAGTGTACATAGCGCGGGGGCTGCCGCTACTCCCACAGCCCCTCACAGCTCGCTTTGACCACTCAGCTTCTCCTTTCCGTCCCCCTTTTCCCGCTTTCGTCCACCTCTACCCGGGCCTCCCCCAATCCTGGCAGGTACGCCCTAAGAGCAGTGTACATAGCACGGGGCCTGGCCTTACTACCACAGCCCTTGACAACTCCCGTTAATCACTCCACCTTCTCCTCCTTGCCCCCTCTGTTCCCCCTTATCCCCTTCTGTTTTCCCCACCCTCTCCCAATCCACGCAGGTACGCCCTAAGAGCAGTGTACATAGCGCGGGGCCTGCCGCTGCTCCCACAACCCTTCACGGCTCTGTTTGATGACTCTGCCTCGTCGGCTCTGGATGCTTTCTTCGACCCCTCGCAGGGGCACATCGCCCTCGCCACCGCCACCACCAGAGGTACAATGCCACTGCCACTGAAGCAAGCACTGACAGTTCGGGTGTGTGTGCCTTTGAGATGCTGCCTTGGGGGGGACGTTTTGCCGGTCTGGGTGAACGAGCTCTGGATGCTTCTTTGGCCACATCGCCCTCGCCCTCATGCTCTTTACAGCATCTTTGGTAGATGGTCAATGTGGACTGAACTCTGGATCAGTACCAGTGGTGACTTTGAGGTGACTTTTGAGTCGACTCAAAAGTCAATGTGGAGTGAACTCTGGATCAGTGCCAGTGGTGACTTTGATGCTGTAAAGAGCAGTACAGACAGGCGCCAGCAAGCAAAGCCCTGCTTCGCTCTTGACCTGCTCTTCAACCCCTTGCTCCATGCCTGCTTCTTCGTCTTCTTCCCCCTCACAACCATTATCCATCCATCCCCCTCGCATCCATCCAACCCCCTCACGTTCGTCCATCCTCTTCACAGGAATATTCGATATTCTCCGCAAGGTGGTGAGGAGGCGAGATGCCGGCGGTGGTGGCAGCGCGTTTGGCATCTCACCTACGCTTTTTCTTGGAGACGTGGAATCCACAGTGAGTGCAGATTGAGGCTTGTAACGAGCACATTACCGCGTCTATACTGGGTTCATCCATTCATTGCATCACCTTAACAGTTCAGATCTCACTTGGTATCAAGCTTTTTGTTGTCTCCTGTCATTGCCACCGTTCCCCTTCCCATCAGGTGCGCGAGGCGGGCACCGGAGTGGTGCACGCAATGGTATCAGAGCTCTCAGATTCCATGATGAGAGGGGTGGAGAGCGGTGGCTTGCCGGGGCTGGTGAGTGTGTGTGTGTGTGTGTAGTCTCAAAATACACGCCCTTTCACGTGGGTGCATGCAATGGTATCAGAGCTCTCGGATTCCATGATGAGAGGGGTGGAGAGCGGTGGCCTGCCAGGGCTGGTGAGTCTGGGTCTGTGTGTGACACGAGTGGGTGTGAGTTGAACTGCACGCACGCAGCTCACAGAAGCCATGTCCGGATCTCGAGTGGGTGTGAGTTGAACTGAGAGCAAGGTGCCAAAGGATTTGAAATTTCGAATTTGAACCATCTTTTCTCTTAACCAATCTATTCTCATCCTCTGCCCCATCCCATCCCACCCCATCCCATACCATCGCAAACACTGTCAGGCCAAGGGCTTTCATGGTGCCATCCTCCGCATCGCCATGGAGCCAGACACCATGCTCGCTCCGCTCGTGCACCCCTTCACTGCTCTTTCAACAGATTAACAATAGCAGGGCCGTTAACACGTTAACCATGGGGTGAAGTCCCTTACTCTCTGCCTCATCCCACCCATCCCACCATCAGGCGAAGGGCTTCCATCGAGCCATTTTACGCATTGCCATGGAGCCAGACACCATGCTCGCGCCCCTCCTCCACCCCTTCGCCCCCGGCTTCACTGCCGCACTCTCTTCTGGTTCCTCCTCCTCGTCCACCCGCCGCCGCTTCCTCTCCACCACCCGTATCCGCCTGCGCACCAGCCTGGGGTTGCATGAGGTAACGTCTAGGCTAGAGTACAAGCTTTCAGTTTTAGAGGTTAGGGTTCCACAACCCCCACTTCCTCCTCCTCCTCCTCCTCCTCCTCCTCCTCCTCCTCCTCCTCCTCCTCCTCCTCCTCCTCCTCCTCCTCCTCCTCCTCCTCCTCCTCCTCCTGGTCGACTCGCCGTCGCTTCCTCTCCACCACCCATATCCGCCTGCGCACCAACCTGGGGCTGCATGAGGTAACTTCTAGGGAAGAGTATAGTGTTTCGAGTTTTACGCTTATGGTTCCACAAAACCCACTTGTTCTTCCTCTTCCTCCTCCTCATCCACTCGCCGCCGCTTCCTCTCCACCACCCGTATCCGCCTGCGCACAAGCCTAGGGCTGCACGAGGTAAGCCTTGTAGCAATCTCCCCACTGCCATGGAGCCAGATACCATGCTCGCTCCCCTCCTGCACCCCTTTGCCCCCGGCTTCACTGCCGCCCTCTCTTCCTCCTCCTCCTCCTCCTCCTCCTCCTCCTCCTCCTCCTCCTCCTCCTCCTCCTCCTCCTCCTCCTCCTCCTCCTCGTCCACCCGCGGCCGCTTCCTCTCCACTACCCGCATCTGCCTGCGCTCCAGCCTGGGCTTGCACGAGGTAACGCATGGGCTATAGTATAGAGTTTCGAGTTTTACGCTTACGGTTCCACAAAACCCACTTCTTCCTCCTCCTCCTCCTCATCCACTCACCGTCGCTTCCTCTCCACCACTCACATTCGCCTGAGCACCAGCCTGGGGCTGCACAAGGTGAGATGGGGAAGAGGTTTTAGAGGTGTCTAGGTGGGGGAGGTTGATGGGCAGATTTTTGAGGCGTCTCAAAATCTTTTGAGGCGCCTAAAAAATCACCCTGGGGCTCCACGAGGTTAGATGGGAAAGAGGTTTTAAAGGCCTCTAGGTGGGGGAGGTTGCTGGGCAGATTCTCAGATCTCTCACCCACGGTATTGCAAGCCTTGCCGGGCTGAGATGGTGCCTGCCCTTGTCCCCCATGCTTCCTCAAGTGCCCCTGACAAACTGTATGTCTGCTCCCACTCTACGATCTATCCATCCCACCCACCAGGCGTACGTGGAGGGCTACTTGCAAGCCATGCTGGATACCCTCTACCGTCAGCCATACGTCACTGTCAAGATTGCCAATGACACAGTAAGTTCGCTTTTATAGGCTTATGAAGTACATAAAAAGACACAGAAACCCCCTTGCTTTGAGACGTCTCAAAACTCACAAACAGACACAGAAACCCCCTTGCTGCTGCAGGGATGCCTATCTCACGGTAGCAAGTAAAGCTTCTTATGGCTGAACTGAAGGGGTATCTTTTCGACTCGGCTCGTAATGTGCTCCATCGTTCCTTTGCCTCCCACTCGCCCTTTCCTTCCAATCCCTTCGCTCCAGGTCGTTCTGAAGAACCTACCCCCCAACACGTCGCTGACCAATGAGATGGTGACATGTGTCACGGATTTCTTGGTCACGGAAGGGCTATTGGAGCCTGAGAGGGGAGGCGGCAGGGATGGAGGGAGGGGAGGGAGGGGAAGGATGGGTATGCCTGCTGCTGGTGCTGGTATTGGTGGTGGTGCTGGTGGGGCAGGGGAGGTTTCTGCATTCCGATCGCTGCGACGCATTCACGGGGAGCAGATGGTGAGTGCTGTGTGTCTGTGAGTGTTACCATGCTAAACCATCCACTCATTCCCCCACAATGCACGGGTGGCAGTGTGGGCGCTGCTAGAGCAGCTCGCAGTCACGCTTTTCATCCGCTTTCTCTCTCAGACACCAGACTTGGGTAACAGTTATCATGCGTGGCCACCCGTTTGTCTCCCCTTTCCATGCTCTTCTCTTCTCCCTGCCTCAGGGCCCCCAAAATGCACGGGTGGCAGTGTGGGCGCTGCTAGAGCAGCTCGCAGTCACCCTTCTCATCCGCACACTCAGACACCAGACCGCCAGGTGGCTGCGTGTCAAGCCGCCACCTGGCACTCAGGCAGACGAAGCGGCAGCACCAACCCCTCCTGCTATAGCCGCTGCTACAGGAGAAGGTAGAGGGGAGGGAGGGCAAGCGGAAGGGAGGGCTGGTGGGGGTGCGAGAGAGAGGGTGGGGGGAAGGGCAGGGGGGAGGGTGCGGGCGGCAGTGAGTCATGTGGTGGTGGCGAGTGTGGTGGCATATGTGGATGGCCGGCTGTGTCGCCACATTCCCAACGCCTTTCTCAGGCGGGTTGTGAGCGGGTTCCTTCTCAGCTTCGTTGATCTCTGAGCCAGTCCGGGCTGATTTTGATTCGGAGTGCGTGCCATGGCATGGTGGTGAGCGAGTGGTGGCGAGTGTGGTGGCATATGTGGATGGCCGGCTGTGTCGTCACATCCCCAACGCGTTCCTCAGGCGGGTTGTCAGCGGCTTTCTTCTCAGCTTTGTGGACCTCTGAGGATATCACTTTCGAGAACTCAAATCACTTCTGCCATATGTGGATGGCCGGATGTGTCGCTACATCCCCAACGCCTTCCTCAGACGGGTTGTCAGCGGGTTTCTGCTCAGCTTTGTGGACCTCTGAGCCGCTTCGTGGGTGTCTGATCTGACCTGTGTGGTGTGGAGTAGCCGTTGTGTGTTGTGTCCCGCCACTGAAATCGAAGAGCTGATGTACGGTACATCAAAAGCTGCACACTAGCTCTGATCCGACACACATTTGAACTGCTTAATACGGTCCTGGTGCTCATATGACATGATTGGCTGAGTGGAAGCATACAGTAGAACTCAAGGAACGCTTTCATTACGCCACACCGCATCCCCAACGCATTCCTCAGACGGGGAAGTGAGCTGAGAGCTGATGTACATCAAAAGCTGCACATTAGCTCTGATCAGACACACGTTTTTTTTCCAAGTGCCACAAAAGTCGTCCACTGAAATCAAAGAGCTGATGTAATTCAAAAGCCACCAGATCCGATCAGACACACGATTGGGCACCTTGATTGGGTTTGAGACTGTGGCTCATATCACAGGACCCGGCAGAGAGAGAATCGTACAGTATGAGGAACACATTCATTACATTACACTGCATTACATCATTACCTTACATTACACTTGCAATACATCAATGCAGCAAGAAGCTATCTACACACCCTTGAACTTGGGACTCTACTGCATAGCACCGCAGGACACAAAACACCCCCATCTCCTAGCTCCTCCCATCAAAGCAACCCCAGGAATACAGTACAAGCGAGGCCCAGGAGGGAACTGAGCAGCAGTTGCCACCTGCCCGAGCTAGCTGCCGGTCCTGCTGCTGCTTTTGTTGCGCTTTGCCCTGCTGGGATGGTGGTTCCAGCTGCCGCAGCAGCAGTAGCACCAGAACCAGCAACAGCACCACCACCACCACCACCTGCACCTGCACCACCAGCAGCAGAACCAGCAGCACCAGCACCAGCACCAGCACCAGCACCATCAGCACCCCCTGTTGATGATTCCTTTTTAGGAGACATGGTATTGTTTGATTCCATAACAGGGGTTGGAGTAGCGGAGGTGGGGGGGGTTGGAGCGGAGGTAGGGGGTGTTGGAGAGAAGGTGGAGGGGGTTGGAGCGGAGGTGGGGGGGGTAGGAGAGGAGGAGGAAGGAATGGGCGTGAGGGTGGCTGGTATTTCGCCTGGGAGAGTGGGGTAGGAGCTATTTTGGGGGATAAGGGAGGGGGAGGAAGGGGAGGAAGGTTCTTTGGGAGCTCCTTTGGAAGGTTCTTTGGGGGAAGGTGAAGGAGAGGAAGGTTCTTTAGGGGTAGTTGAGTTGGAAGGCGTATCAGGGGAAGTAGTTGAGTTGGGGGGTTCAGGGGAAGCGGTTGAGGGGGAGGGCGTGGGGAGGGGATCAGTTGTTGTGGGGGATTTCTTGCCCGAGTCAGGAGATTTGGGTGGGGGAGCAGGGTCCGGGGAGGAGGTGTTGGTGGTGGTGGGAGGAGAGGGAGAAGAGGGAGAAGCGGAGGGAGAGGAAGGAGAAGTGGAGGGAGAAGGAGAAGGTGAGGGGGATGAGGGAGGTGAAGACGCAGAGGGAGGTGAGGAGTCAGAAGGTGAGGGAGAGGAAGGGGAGGAGGGAGAGGGAGATGAAGGTGATGCAGGCGATGACGGAGAGGAGGGAGAGGATGGTGAGGATGGTGAGGAGGGCGAGGAAGGGGAAGGGGAGGAAGGGGAAGGGGAGGAGGGGAGCGAAGGAGTAGGAGAGTCACCAGGAGAGCCGTTGGGACTGCTGCCAGTGCCCGGGTCTGGAGAAGACGCCACAGGCAGGCCTACAGGCTTCTCCCTGGGGGGGTGGTGGGGGGGGAAGGTTGCAAGGCAAGGGGAAGGGATGAAGCGAGCAGACAACAGATGGGGCTGCTGCCATTGCCTGGGTCTGGAGATGACGCCACAGGCAGGCCTACAGGCTTCTCCCTGAATGGTGCGTGAGGGAGGAAGAAGAGACGAGAAGGGAAAAGCAATGAGATGGAAAGGGATGTGCCACCGCCCTGGGTCTGGAGAAGACGCCACAGGCAGACCCACAGGCTTCTCCGTGTAGGTTGGAGACAGACAAGAGGGAGGATGGGACAAGCGGGAAGATGGTGGACGAACAAAAATATGGCAGGATAATAATAAAATTTAAAATGTAAATATATATATATATATATATATATATTCAGACTTACCCAAGGATGGCCTGGGTCTGCGGGGCGATGCATCTGGCCCATGCGTCGTAGCCTGCTGCTGACAGGTGTAGGCGTTGGAAGGTGTCCTGTGCGAGGGCAGGAGGGAGGGAGGGAGATGGAGAGAGAGGGACACAATGGGATAGAGTGGTGTGTTTCACATTTGGCAGAGGCACGCCTTTATACACCTCACTTGACCCATGGCTGTATGCATAATCTTCAACAACACTTGTTACAGGTAAAGGCTTACACTGATGTAGTGGTCTTCAAGCAGAAGGTCATCCTCGTTAAGGAACGCATCCTTACAGTCCAGGAAGTAGGTGCTCGTGCCATCTGCATTGTGGCAGGAACAGCAAGCAAGAGAGGAAAAAAACGTTGCACCTGTTAAATGAAAAGTGCTGTGAATTCTCCCAAGCACATCTCCGAGTTGACTTTTGAGTGGACTCAGAAATCAAGAACAATCTCCAGACTTCATGGGATGAAGTGAGAGTGGAGTGAGGGTTGGAATGGCGTTGACTCACGTTGACTTGCTCCTCAAAACACAACAGTTGCCAGCAGCTGACCTGGAATTGACTCTGAGAGAACGGCGTTGACTTGTCCTGGCTGGGGGTCTGGTTCTGATGACTTAGAGAGGTATCCCTGGAAGGAGGGTGCAAAGGAAGAGGGACGGGGCCAAGGGAGGGAGAGGATGGAATCATGAGAATGGCGTTGACCTCGTTGACTTAATCGAACTGGGGGCCTGGTTCTGAAGACATGCTTCTGCTACCTGAACTGTGCTAATGCTTTTGAAGCCACTTTTAAAATGGACGGAAAAGCTGTAAAGTAGAAAGCTCACTTCGGGTAACAGGCCAAGGACGAGCACTTTCGTGGTGGGTTGTGACGCGCGAATTGCGGTTACCACATCGCCAATCTGCAAAGAAACGCACGGGGTCCAAGTAGGGAGGTAGTTTCGCTTACAACCAATCCCCAAATTCGAGAAAATGTTGACCAATCACCACAAACGCAAACCTGTTTTTGCTACGTAAGAACATTTACTGAACATTTGGTTTTATACATTTCACTCTCGAGAGAGCAAAAAAATGAAACATCATAAGCCGAACCTTATTAGCAATCGCCTGGGCATCCACGCCTCCGTTAGTAACAGACTCGAAAACGTCGTTAATGCCCACGCAGACCACTGCTAGAGAGAGGCTGAGAGAGGATGGGCGCTCGCCGTTCTGCTTGGGTGTTGGGGTCACGGAGTGAGGACACAGGGTAGGAGAGGAGAGAGAGTAGGGTAGGGAAGGGGAGGGGAGGAAAAATAGAGATGGGAGGAGAAATAGAGGAGAGTGGAGGGAAGGACAGGAAATGAGGAAAAGAGGAGAAATGCGGGAGCGTTGGGGCATGGGCAGGAAGCAAGAGCATAAGGTTGGGTGAAAAGCACTAGGAGAGTGCAGTGTTGTGTGGAGCATTCTCAAACTCATTAACTAAGAATCTGGCAGTTGATAATAAATCGGTTATGGATGGCTTGAGTGTGAGGAGGTAGGGAGGGAAGAGGAAAATTAAGACACACACACACACACACACGCACGCACACACACTGTCACAGACACACATGGTTTTCCGCACCTCCAACCTCCATAAAAGGTCGTCCGTTGTGTCGCCAGCAATCCCAAACGCCCGCACCTCCCTCCCCTCACCGAGAGACGCCTTGAGAGCATCGAACACGGCGCTGCAGCCACACGCAACAGCAGGAGCAGAAGCACGCAGGCGCAGAAAGGATTGTTGTGGACTCTTATACATCAACAGGCAGAAGCACGCACACACAATGCAGGTGCATGCCAATGCTAGAAACAACACTCTTAGCCAGACACTTCGCCGGCGGCACCAACAAAAAAAAAACGAGAGAAACTCTTGTTTTTCTCCCTTTTTTCTGCAACGTACCTGACACCAGCGTAGAGTCCCAGCTGCCTTCCCAGAAACTTCTCACTCCATCCCTGCACAGAAATCCAAGAAACCCAACTTCAGCACCCATTTTGGACTGCCTTCCTCTTTCCTCTTTCAACCTTCGATAGTATCACACAGGGAGCCCTCTCTATAGTATCATCAGCCTCCCTGCGTATAATATCTATAGTATCTATAGTACCTCTATGAGCGAGTCGCCATAGAAGATGACGTCAGCCGCCTTAAGCGCCGAGGCCTCGCCACTGTAGGCATCGTGGATTGCGAACCAGCCGTCGATCTTCTGGGGCTTGACGGAATTGGCGCGCTTCACGTCTTTCATCCTGAACCCGGCAGTTTCCGTCCCGCCCTTCCCTTGCCCCCCGCCATCGCTTCCGTCAACTTTTCCGTCAGAATTTCCGTCGTCTTTCGACCCTCCGTTCCACTCCTGCACGCCCTTATCTCCCGTCGATCCGTCATCGCTTGACTGACTCGGACCTTGCGCGTTCGACGAAGCTTCCGTGCTGTTGTCCCCTGAACCCTCTCCTGCACCCCCGCTGTCGCCGCCATCTGTACTCGGATTAGAATCGCCATCTACGGCAGGGACTGGTTTCGGCGGCGGTTGCACCGCAGGTTCGGGCGCCGAATCCGGCGGCGGTTCCGGCGCGGGTTCTGGGGCAGGTTCCGGTGCCGGTTTCTGCGCTGACTCGCTGCCGGCACCAGCGGCGAGCTTTCCTCCAGACGCTGCTTCGCTGGTGGGCGGTTTCTCGGGCGTTGCCGCAGGCGTTTTCGAGCTTTCCTGCGACTCTTGCGGCTGGTTGCTGGACGGCGCGCCTGACGATTCACCGGAGGACTCTTTTGGCGAAGGAGGCTGCGAAACTTTGGTCCCCTTGCCGTTCCCTGACTTCTCGTCGGCAGGTGGCGACTTGCCGGCACCTTGCTCCCCGGCACCAGCCGTGGGATCTTGGTTTGTATCGCCTTCGACAGCGCCCCCCTTGATAGCATCACCTTTAGCAGCGCCCGTATCAACAGCGCCCGTCGTGTCACTGCTCTTATTCTCCTTGTCCTTCTTCTCCTTGTCTTTTTTCTCCTTGTCCTTTTTCTTCTTTTCCTTTTCCTTCTCCTTCTCCTTCTCCTTCTCTTTCTTTTTCTTCTCTTTTTCAGCATCCCCCTTATCATTGAGCACCGTTACAAGATCCGGAACACCGTTCTCTATAGGCACCTCGTCTAGGATACGTAACGACGATCCACTGGGCCCATCCCCTCCTTTCAACCCCTTCCCCGTCAAGAATCGTCCTGCATGCGTTCGTTCTGTAACGGAGAGAACGAGCGAGAAGGCTAAGACGAGCGACACAAGCTTGGGTAGCCGGAACGTGCTAGCTATTGGCCGCTGTGGCCGCGCCTCTCTAGGGATCATCGCGTTCGGAAGGGAGCGATGGAGCGCGAGAGAGTGCGAGAGAGCGCGTGAGAGCGCGAGAGATCGTGAGAGGTTGGCAAAACTCGCTGCAAGTACCACAAAGGGGAAAGTAGATGCTGAGCAAACGAATCAAACGAAGCGGCGTCGCTGCCGATTAGCTCTACGACGGGGAAGTCACTCGTATCATAGGAGCTTGTCACTTAACCGATGGGGAGCGGAGCTGACTTCTGAGTCGGCTCGAAGGTCACGACGCGGGCTTGTCGCTGATTTGCTCTACACGTCACTCGTGGAGCTGTCGATCTGCTGGTTTACACAGGGCTCTATTTTTTAGGATTCTCAAAATTGCTCAACCGCACCCCCTTCTACAAAGACGTACTGGCGTGAACAGCAACCACTGGCGCTCTGTTTTGCGCTGGCATCTGTACTACGCGTAAGAACGGGGAAATCGAGGAGCGACGATACCTTTTCTGTCTTTATGAACAGCGATCCCTAGAGCCTATTCTACTGGCTTTCTATATGTAAAGCTTATGAACAAATGGACGCGTTCACGGAGAGCATAGGAAAAGCACATGGGCCTATGATGCACAGGCCTTAGGGAAAAGCATCTTGAGAGAGCTGATCCGAGTCGCGAATCGTGGCATCTCAGTGGCGCAGCCACTGACGTCGCCTCTTGACTGCTGCGTCAGCGCAGACATGCGACGAAAAATGTATTCAGCACACACGGTGGCAAGGGGTTGAGTAGTATATTTTGGTAATTAGTCCAATCAATGTTGATTGAGCATGGTGGGATGGGCGTGTTTGCTGTATGCCGCCGTGTGCCTCGCCACTCTGAATGTTCGGTACGAGATTGCCGCGGTATAGTACACGCACCCTTCCCTCCGTTTGACCAGAGGCAGCACTACGGGAGCCATTGCGGCTTGGACGCGATTTCTGATGAACAGAAACGCACTGATCAGCAGCACCACTAGAAATAAGGGGCGCTGATCAAGTCGGGGGTTCCAGTGCTGTGATGTTCCAGCGAATGGCGTGCTGGAGGATGGGATGGGATGGTGCAGCAGGGTATGCGAAACCATGTAACTAAAATTTCGCGAGGTTCGCGAAGATCTCTGGAACCACGCGAAGTAGGCGAACCCAGCTGGGTGTGCCGTGGTTTGGTTTGGAAACACCAGGAAATGGGCGAATTTCCATCATGCGCCAAGTGCCCCGCTCGTGGCGTCAATTCGACGCAATGCGGTGCACAAATCTGGGCGAAACGCAAGGTGCGGTGTGGCAGTACGAACCGCACTGATCGCGATCCGGAGGGGGTGCCAGCAGACATCTGTCAGTGCACAAGAGCTTGCTGAGAAATTGCCACAATAGTGGGGATAGATACACTTGGACCATCGAGTAACTACAAGTGTTGCTAGTTCATCTGCAATACCCGAAACCCTCAACTCAACCTCCTCAGTTGCCCAAATGCACATCACCTACACGATGCAACCTGTGACAGGCATAAAGTTGTGCATCTCAAATGCCACACCCATGCAATGCAACTGATATTGCATGGATATACCGACAAACCAAACGACACAAGGTACGCCCTATAAGGTGAAATTATTCAGTTCAGTCCAGGTGTGTTAACCAAAACAAACAAGCCAATCAAGACCAAACAAAACTGTTGGGCTGAGAAAATAGCCCTTAGGATCTTTGCAGGGGTGAACTCTGGGTAGGACTAATGTAATAGCAGAAGCGTTTAATGAAGAGTTGTGAACCACCTTGCGCTAGTATGTGAGGGCAAAGTTGATTAATTAAAACAGAGAGATACAAGATTATATATAAGAGTACTGAGAAGAAACGAGGAATGGAATGACTAAGTGAAAGTTGGGTACAAGAAGCAAACCCTAGAAAACTGTACCCCATATGTGCTACCCCACTATAGCCTACAGTAGCTATGTCATATAAATCTGACACACCCCCATAGGCAAAGTGGGGGAGAACAACGGGTCACAAGACCAGTCAAGCAAAGCAAAGCAAAAACAAGCTCAGGGTGGATCACAAAGTCACCACACATTCCGAGCACAAGTTCAAGGCCACAAGGCCAGTTCACAAGCAGGAGTACACATATATATAAAAAGGCTAGACAAACAAGAGCAGGTATATATATATGTAACAGTACAAGCAAGGTCAAGAGGTGAGCAAGTGAGGCAAGGTAGGCACAAGGCCAAGCTGAGTACAGAAGCGCTGATGGTCACAAGGCGCAAGTGCCTTGGTGAAGATATCAGCAGTGTTGGCCTCAGAGGCCACGTATGCAAGACGCAGCTGACCACGCTGCTGCAGCTCACGAGCAAGAAAGTAGCGGAGAGCAATGTGCTTCGTTCTGTGCTCCAGTCGCTGCTCCCGACACAAGGCCAGCATGGCCTTGTTGTCTACGTACAGCACTGGAGGAGAACGAGGCAACTCTCCGAGGTCAGTCAGCAGGTAGGTGAGCCAGCGAAGCTCCTGTGCAGCCATGGCTCCTGCGTAGATTTCAGCCTCACAACTGGAGCCGAGAACAGAAGACGAGCGAGTAGCCCGCCACGAAACAGAGCCGGAACCAAGGCTGAAGGTGTAACCCTGTGACGACCGCTGCGTAGCCTGGTCGTCAGCCCAAGAAGCGTCTGCGTGCCCAGTAAGGACCACTGGACTCTGCCCTCCAAGCACAAGCCCCATGCCCGACGTACTGCACAAGTAGCGCAACACCCTCTTCGCTGCAGCCATGTGCTCCGGTCTGTGTCTCCCAGGAGCAACATAGCGTGCAAGAATGCTAAGAGGGTATGCAAGGTCAGGTCGTGTGCAGGTCATCAGGTACATGAGGCAGCCAACAAGCTCTGGGTACGGGCCACTCGACTCTACGGACTCTTCCGAAGGCAGAGCTGAGAGCGAGTGGCGAGTAGGCAGAGGAGTGGCCTGAGGCGAGGAGTACGTGAAGCCGAAGCGCTGAAGGACCTGCTGCACCATGTGTGACTGAGTCAGGGTAATGGTGCGGCGTGCTCTGTCCCGAGTGATCTGCAAGCCAAGGTAGCTGCGCAGTTCACCCAGGTCAGTGCACGTGTGTCTCTTCTGCAGCTCGGACTTCACGTGGGCTAGTCCAGCAGTGTCAGCTGTGGCAAAGACCAAGTCGTCGACGTACACGAGGATGTAGAACGGCGGCAAAGAAGTGTCGGTGCGCAGAAACAGCGACGGGTCGGCAGTAGAGGGAGCAAACCCAAGAGCCGCAAGTGTAGTCCTCAGTGTGTCGTGCCACGCACGCGGTGCCTGGCGGAGACCGTAGACTGGCCGCCGTAGGCTCCACTGGGTGCCAGGAGGAAAAGACCCAGTGAAGCCAGGTGGGCGACGCAGCCAGATCTCCTCGTGCAGGCTGCCCTGCAAGAAAGCAGTGCTGAAGTCAAGAGAGTGTAGCTCGTAGTCACGGTGAGCAGCTACGTGCAGCAGTACCCGAAGAGTGGTCATCTTCGGGGTGGGAGAGAAGGTCTGAAAGTAGTCAACTCCCTGCCGATGACTGAAGCCACGAGCCACGTAACGCGCCTTGAAGACAGGCGGAGAACCCTGCGGTCGCTTCACCCTGAAAATCCACATGCCACTGACGATGTTCGCCCCAGGAGGGGGAACAGCGTCAACGTAGGTGCCTGTGGACTTCCAGGAAGCCATCTCTGCGTCCATAGCTGCCTGCCACTGAGAGGAGTAGGGACCCTCTATCGCCTCCGCGTAAGAGCGCGGAGTCGGGATGTCAAGTGCATCCGGGTCTCCCTCAGGGGTAAGCAGTACGGACACGAGATGAGGTGAAGCAGCGGCCAAGCACTGGAACTCCTCCTGCCTGTCCTCAAGGACGTCCGTGCCAAGGGCACACTCACCCCCGACGGACGGAGGACAGACAGACTCAGACTCAGCAACAAGACTGGCGACGTAGTCTAGGCGACAGCGAGCAGCAAAGTCGACGAGCTCAGCAACTAGAGCAGACGCAGCAGTGGACTCAAAGGAAGGGTCAGTGACAACCGTAGCAAGGAGACGCGTGACAGTAGGACTGGCAGCGCGAAGAGAGTCCGACTCCGGGTCGGCAAGAGTAGGAAGAGAAGACTCAGGAGGAGAAGGCAAAGGGGCACGCAGAGGAGCAGTGGACGGACGCAGAGACATCCGGTGCGTGCCAGGGACAGGAGGAGGACGCTGACGCGAACCGCGACCACTAGTGCGAGCAGCACGGACAGGCGACGCAGGGCGAGACGCAGGCTCACGACGCTCAGCAAGACCTCCAGTAGGACCAGTGTAGGGAGACGGAGCAGGCAGTGGGGAGGCCGGCTGTAACTGTAACTGCGACGGGACAGGCTGTGGACACTCTAAGGGAGGAGGAGGACCAGTAGAAGGCGGGAGACCAAGAACCTGCTGAAGGAGCGGAACGAAGTACGGCCGAGGCCGCGCGGCGACTCCAGACACAGGAGGGACAGCACCAGCACCCGCAGGGGCAGCACCAGCACCAGTAGCAGCTCCAGCTCCAGAACCCCCAGCAGGACCGCCTCCAGGACCGACAGCAGTAGCCTCCGCGCCAACACCCGCAGCAACTCCAGCTCCAGAAGTACCCGCAGGTCCAGCAGCTCCAGTACTCCCAGTACGAGCACCTCCGGGACCCGTGGCACCAGCTCCCTCAGAAGCAACAGAACCTCCAGTACCCGCAGCACCTCCAGCTCCAGCAGCTCCAGCAGCTCGCCTCCAGCGCCGGGCAAACCACTCACGTAGCTCCTGGGGAGAGAGTGGCTCTCGGCGAGAGGGAGCACCCGGTGAACCGCCAGGCACAGCACCACCAGGCGTAGCACCCCCAGGCTCAGCACCTCCAGGCGTAGTACCCCCAGGCTCAGCACCCCCAGACGCAGCACCCCCAGGCTCAGCACCTCCAGGCGTAGTACCCCCAGGCTCAGCACCCCCAGTCGTAGTACCCCCAGACTCAGCACCCCCAGGCTCAGCACCCCCAGGCTCAGCACCCCCAGGCGTAG